ATAAAATGATAATAATAACAAGAATAATGCGAAGAATGATGATGATGATGAGGATAATATTAATAATAATAATAATAATAACAATAATAGTAATAACAATAATAACAATAATAATAATAATAATAATAATAATAATAATAATCATGATAATAATAACAAGAACAGTGATAATAATAATAATAATAATAATAATAATAATAATAATAATAATGATAATAATGATAATGGTAATAATAATAATAATAACAAGAACAGTGATAATAATAATAATAATAATAATAATAATAATAATAATAATAATAATAATAATAATAATAATGATAATAATGATAATGGTAATAATAATAATAATAACAAGAACAATGATAATAATAATAATAATAATAATAATGATAAGGATAATAATAATAATGGTAATAATAATAATAACAAGAACAACAGCAACAATAGTATTTTTCCTGTAAAGCCAAAATCTCAAAAATGGGAGAGTTAATAATCAAATAAGTAGTACACTACGATAACGGTCTTTGTGAAATGCCAAATCAGAAATCACACCCATAAACACTGCTGCGACATAAAAAAATACAAATAAACAGTCATCAATCTCATGTGCCCGTTTCTCCTTTTATCAGGAAGACTTAATCAGTTACGTCAGTGTGTGAGAGAGGGAAACGAGCATCAAAGGTCTCAACTGTATCTGCATTAACTTGCTGATTAGCTTGTTCATTCCCACAGACGTTAATATACGCAGGCATTGCTAACTGGCAGGCTGGAACCTCCCTAGCCATTTAGTGTGACGAGCGAAAGTCTGTCCATGGCTTATAGTAGAGTACGAGAGTAGCGGTATATCACAAAGGATCCTGATTACCAACTATCAGTGGATATTGTATATAATGTTTGGTAATTTTAGGTGTGGCATAAGAACATCTCAATTTCTCTCATGGAAATATTCCTCTTCCTAGTTCTGTCCAGATATAGTTTGACTGGACTGATCCACGTGGCGGTCAGGGGAATAGGGAGACTCCAGCATCTAGAGTACTTATAACGAGACATTTACAATTAAAACACACAAAAACTAGAACTCACATGATCTCCTGTACGTGCGCAAGTTGAAATGACACAAATTTAATGGTAAGTCAAGAACAAAGAGTAACTATAAAGGCGGTGCCAGTTCTTAGGATGAATAGCTATCTTCAGATGTCACAAAGGCTTAATGTCACCGCATAAGGTGATTAAAAACCCAAGGGTAAACTATAGTAAAAGGGACAAGTAAAAGGGCTAAAGCAAGAGAAGGAATAAAAGGAATAAAGGGAAATAAGTAGAAGGCTAAAGCTAATTTGAGAGAGAGAGAAAAAAAAAATACTGTGTGAATCAAACTTATATACACATACAAACACATAAACTGACACACACACACACACATTATATGGACTGATATACAAAAAAAAATATCATATGCAGCATGATGATAACAAAATGCCTAAAGTGGTGTGGTGCAACGACTGACTAAACAGAAGAATATATCTCATCAAATGCATTAGCATCATTCCTTCACAAAGACGAAACGCAAAGTTGATGGAAAAGTCAAGACTTATTAAACGTAGGATGATGTCTGCTTAGTACTTCCGTTTAAAAATGTGTACAGTAGGTCGGGTTCCCACTTTTAAAACACGCACATGA